AGTTTTTAATTTTTGGAGGGAAAGCAATCTTTCTAATTATATTTTATTTAGATGAAAAATAATAGGAAGGGCCCCTTCTTAAAGTATATGAATTGTGTACTTGTTGGTGAGGAATACAGTCTGCCTAGAAGATTAAATCTAGTCCTCAGATATTTCTTGAAGAGGAGGATCAAGGGCTCTTGGGCCACTTGACTCTGGGCAAATACAGAGACTATTACAGGGACACTGGGTGCTCTGACTTAGGACATATCAGGGAAGTAGGAAAGAAATAAGGAGTCAGGGGTATAAAGAGATAAAAGGCTACAGACATGCTGGTGTCTTATCTTAAGGAAACTGGTTTGTCCAAAGCTTAGGTGGCAACAGATGAATTCCTGGACAAAGAAGGTTCTCCTTACGCACTTGTCCAATTCATAAAGAAAGAACAGTTTGTGGACACAAGAGGAACTCTTAGGGATATTTTAAAATTTGGAAACTAAAGGGACATTAGAGTAATGAAACTCTGCATGTAAATATTAAATAATTAAACAAAATTGCATAATAGGTAGATAAGTTTTATCGACCAGTGCCCTGTGCCATAATTCAGATGCACTTGACAATGCATCTAAGACAGACTAAATTCTACTGTACAAAAAGGCCTATCAGGGGTTTTATGGAGAAAACAGTCTGTGAAATGAAAACAGGTTTTTTCTTCTAAAGTCTGACATAAGATTCTAGGCTTTACCAGAAATTCATCTTTCTTTCCTCTCTTCTCCTTCTTTTCTATGTTGATTCTAAAGACTATACTACTTTAAATACTTTGCATTATTTATTGTGTAAACATTTCTGGGCCAATTAATCTCTGCATCTGGAAAGGATAAGGTTCAGGGAACTATATGTAGAACTCAGTTAAGCCCCTGGGTCATGTCTTGGGAAATTTTCACCCACATGTCCCCATGACCATCAAAGGCACTTACCTGCTCCTAACATCACAGATGGATTACTGGTGTTAGTGCAGCTAGTAATGGCAGCGATTACCACAGAACCGTGAGCAAGGGTGAACTCGCTATTATTATAGATAAATGTCTTATGGTCATTATGATGGTCCAGAGCAACCTGGAATCCTTTAAATCCTTGCTATAGGAAGAAAAAAAGAAAAGAAAATATATGATCAAAAGTTCTCACTTTGGAAGAAGAAGAAATACTTTGGTAACTATAGTTTTAAAGGCTAATTCTTAACAAAACATAAACATCTCAGCTGGTAAACTCTGAAATGCTACAGAAAAATTAAATTTACTCTTTTTAAATCTTTATAAAAGGGAGTCATGATTTCTGAATCTGATTTTGCTTTGAAATTATTAACAATTCTTCCCCACCTCAAATACTGAAAGACTAAAACTACAAATTTAGCTTAGTCTGATTAGAGCTAATTAGTACAGATGTAATGGCTACACTGAGGGCGCTGATACTAACCTTTATGGAAATTTAGAAAAAGGTGCCATTTTGGCCAGATTCAACCAATCATAAGCAGTAAGGCTAACACAGTACAGCTGAACATTTGGTAAAATGCTGGCATCCCGTGGATAAAATCCATCACAAATCTTATTCATTTGAAAAATCTTCATTGAAAATCTACCGTGTACAGGATACTATGCTGGGCACTTTGTGGGATACAAAGGTGACTGTGCATAAATCCTATGCTCAATCTACAGTGTAGTAAAGGAAATCAGACATGCACATATTATACAGTACCAACAATGAAATTAAAGGCTATGAAACACCATCACAGGGTTTCCCACTGATGCCATGAAGGTTCAAATGAGGGAGAGATGACTTTGTGCTATGGGATCTGAGGCCACATTGTGGAAGAGCTGAGAGATTAGGGCATGCAGACGGGGAAAGGACATGCAGGCAGGGGATGGCATGAACAAAAGTACAGTGGCCAGAAAAGTTTGGGCAAGCCGAGTGAACACCGTGGTGAGTCATGTGAAAAGGAGGTATGCTTTTGAAAAGGAGGGTTGAGTTGTGTTTACAGGCAATCAAGTGCTCTAAGGAGGCTGCCTGGCTCTTGGCTAATGCAGAGGGAGGCATCGAGGACTATAGGATGGAGAGGAAATGCCCGCAGCACCAAGGCTTCAGGAAGACTCATCATCGAGGGCGGTGAAGCCTGTGCACAAAGAAGCCAAGCACGGGGCAGGATTGGGGAGGATTTCCACCCACCTCTCCCAGGTCCCTACCTTGGCTCCAAGGCAGCTCTCAAAGTCCTTTTTCATGTCAGATACGGCAACTTTGTCCTGAGGCCTTTTGGGTCCACTGCAGCAAGGCACTACTGTTTTCAAATCTAACTCCACAACCTGTGCACCCAAAAGAAAAGGAACCGTGGAATTGACATTATACTCACAAAGAAAAAAACACAGCCATGCCAGAGAATTTAAAACACCACAACAATAAAAATAAACTAAACTACCACATTCCAAACCAAGGAAGTCAATGTCCATTTTACACTGAAGGGGTGAATTTCCAAAGTTCCAGATGAGCACTTTGGTAGCATGGGACAGGCAGAAGCCTTGCCACCTCTCAGAAAGACCAGGGTGGGCATTGTGGCTGCCTCCAGGGTCTTTCACTCAGCCATCTTTGCAAAGCAGCTCATACATCCTTTTTATTGCTTAAGTTAGTCAATGAGATGGATTTTCTACTGAAATGATAGATAAACCATTGTAATTTTTCTAAGATGACTGGGGGAATGCAGCCATTAACTCATCAATGCCAAGAAATGGGCCCTAGTCTAATTGAATATTTCCTTCCATCAATGTAATATGAAACAAAACAAGGATCCCACATCTGGTTTACCCTCCAATCTTGGCTGCTGAGAAAAATGTGGATTCAGTTTGCACCCTAGAAAATGAATGAAGATAAGTACGTCGATGGGTAAATCAGAACAAATTGATTCGCTTGCACCTCCATTTCTTTCCCCATCTATAATAATGATGTGCTTATCAGCCTTTAAATAGCTCCAGTCCTTCTAAACTCCTTTTCCAAAGATCTTCCACATAAGAGGAGTAAAGCAAAAAAGGGGAGCAGGGCTTCCCTGGTGGCGCAGTGGTTAAGAATCTGCCTGCCAACGCAGGGGACATGGGTTCAAGCCCTGGTCTGGGAAGATCCCACATGCCGCGGAGCAAGTAAGCCTGTGAGCCACAACTACTGAGCCTGCGCTCTAGAGCCCACGAGCCGCAACTAACGAGCCCATGCACCGCAACTTCTGAAGCCCACACACTCTAGGACCCACGTGCTGCAACTACTGAAGCCCTCACGCCTAGAGCCCATGCTCTGCAACAAGAGAAGCCACCGCAGTGAGAAGCTCGCGCACCGCAACTAAAGAAAGCCCGCACGCAGCAACGAAGACCCAACGGAGCCAAAAAATAAATTAATTAAATTTATTAAAAAAAAAAGTGGTGGGTGGCGGGAGCATACTCAACCTAATGGCCAGGAAGAATGGGACAAGTTACGTTATTTTATGTCTACAATTCCTTATCTTTTTGATTTTTTAGCCTTTTAACACCCTGTTCTTCTGCGATAACTTGGCAGTGACTAATTTCCTACAAATACACCCCCCAAGAAAAAACATTCACAACTAAAACCACAGGCTTGAGAAAGAGGAAACACATGCCCAGCACTGTGTGCTAAACATTTTAAATGCATTATTTCATTCTCTAATCCTTTATCATGACCTTATGAAAGGCACTCTCATACCTGGGCAAAGTCTGGGTCTTGAGCGGGGTCACTGAAATCCCGAAACATTCCTACAGCCTGAAGATACTTTTTAATATGCTTTACTTTTTCTTCATCACGACCTAATGGGCATTTTAAGAAGTAACAAGTAACAGATGTTAATATTTCCTGATTAAACTAATGCCTCTACCAGAAGCTATACAAGGAATGGGCATTTCACTTAAACACACACCAAGAGCTCTGCTGATATTGCAGCTTTCAGGCTAACAGTCTGACTCTCTAGCCGATGCTGCTGTTTACTGGGGGCCATTAACTGATCTGCTGTTCTATCGAAGTGACCATTTTCTGTAGAAGATTCTCACTTATAAGCACTCGTCTCTCTTTGGTTATGGGTCTTAATTAAGAGGATCCTAAGCCTCAGCGAATTGTCAAAGCATACCTCCGACGCATCTGCCTTCAACTGGCCACAGACCCTCAGCATTCCACATGATTCTAGTTATGGTAATCCCCGCAGTCTCCCACCACAGATCACCAGCTGTGTGCCCAGCACTGTGTGCTAAACATTTTAAATGCATTATTTCATTCTCTAATCCTTTATCATGACCTTATGAGAAAAGCACTGTTATTATCCTCATTTATGGATGGGGAAATAGTGGCTCAAGAAGATTAACTTTCCCATGGAACACGGGCCGTAAATGGCAGAACCAGGACCCGAAGCTGAGTTTAGGTTTGAGTTCAAAGTCCTAACTCGTGATGCTATATCACCAGGAATATGACCCTGAAAGCTCTGCTGTTTCATTCTGATCAAGACCCTGGTTGCAGGAGATAATACGCACGGTTTGCCCAATGGACACGGAGTTCTCCCAGTTTTCTGACAAATAAGCCTGTTCGAGAGCTTGATTCTTGGATCCACAACAGATCAGCATTCTTTTTTTTTCACCTCTTCATTTTAACTGAATTGTAAAGGTCATCAGCTTTCAGCATGGACCTTATAACAGATGACTGTCTGATCTTCGTTAACATTTATCATGACCTGTTGTTGGGCCCCAGTGTTCATTACATGCCCTGTCATCCTCTCGACGAAGACATGCAGGAGAAATTTCTTTTAGGTTTCAGTTTAAGAAAGTGTTCAACTTCTCTGAAACCATTGGTTTCAAATCAGTAGATGTTACAAATTCGGTACCAGATCAGTAAGAGGTTCGGTGGCCACCTCTAGAGCCATAGAAACTAATCTCATCTCTGGATGTATTTTGCAGCTTTCCCCTCCCCACCATCCCTTCTCTTCTCTTCTTTAGGTTGAGTGCCTCAACTATTTAATCGAGGGACAGAGGCAGAAGGTAGTGCTCCAATTTTCAGCGTTCTATGAACTTTAGAAACGGCCTTCTGTTTTCAGGGTTCTGCACTTACCTGTCTGCACCAGGTACTTGATACTGACTTCATCAACCGGGAAAAAGGCAGCAGTGGCTCCATACTCTGGACACATGTTGGCAATTGTAGCTCGGTCGGCAATGGACAACTGGGCTACCCCTGGCCCGAAGAACTCGACAAATTTGCCCACTACCCCAACCTGGCGGAGGTGCTGAGCAACAGAACAATAGCAGAGTTTGAGACTTGATAACCTGTATTTAAAATGCAGAACTATCCCCTTGCAATTCTCATAAAGTAGCCTTGTGAGTAAACACAAAGAATGAATTAGCCCAACATATGTTTGATTACTTTTAAAAATAAAACTTAAAAAGTAAGGCCAACTAAATACAACATGGTATCTTGGAGTAGATCCTCGAACAGAAAAGGGATTACTGAAAAAACTGGTGAAGTTTCTAGTTTAGTTAAAAATGTCATACCAATGTTAACTACTTCTGTTTCTGATAAATATACCATGGTTATGTAAGATGTTAACATCTGGGGAAGCTGGGAGAAAGGTAACAGGAACTCTGTATTACCTTTACATCAAGTCCCCTGTAAATCTAAAATTATGTTGAAACATTTCTTTAAAAAGAAAGAAAAATATAAAAACACAAATAATAAAAGTTTTGCCAAATGAGAAAACTTCTTTCTAAAAATTAAATAAATTCTTTCAACGTGAATAAATTATGATTTGCACTTGTTGAATAAGCAAATGCCTTGTTTTCAAGGGTATAATGAACAAATATCCTGAACACAGGTGTAAGTCAAATGTAACCAAAAGATCCAGGCAGTCTGACTCTCACACCTTTTCCATACAAGCCATCAGCCAGGGCTGGAGACTCATGACTGGCTTGGCTCTGCATGAAATCAGCTGTATGAAGTGTGGACAACCACACGGACAGGCCCTTTTGGTTACATGGAATTCTGCCAAATTTTGTGGGCAGAGCCTATATTATTCCACACTTGAACGATGCGGACATCTCTGATGAGCTATAGTGTTCAAATAAATCTGATTCCGATGTCCATGACTATTAAATCAAAAGTATAGCATCCATCCCACATAACCCAAGCCTTCAAACTATACAACCAGAAAAACTTGTGTGATAATAAAAAAAAAATTACTTTTCTCATAGTCTTTCAAAATGAAACTGCCTTCTTTTTGCAAAGCAAGCAAATCACCAAAAAGGATTATTTCTGACAAGGGCAAATGAAAAACAAAACAAAACAAAACTAATATTTTCCAGCTTGGAGAAACATCTGTTACAATAATGTAACTTATAATACAGAGAATGGAATTTTAAATAGTCAAAAATTATTCATAGTTATTTTCATATAAAGAAGAACCATGTGGAAAAAATGTAGAAGTATAAACATATGCATGGAAATGATTTCTTATAACCTCAAGACAGTGATTCTCTCTAGAAATGAAGAGGGTGGCTTTAGCCATAAATATTACATTTCACTTCTTAAAAAATATACATACAGAGAGAGCTCTGAAGCAAATACAGCAAAATGTTACCATCTGTTAAGTCTACATGGTGGGCATATAAATGTCATTTTAACTTCTGTGTATTTAAACTGTTTCACAATTTCAAAAAATTTTTTTAAAGAAAAAGATCCATGCAGCAACAGAAGAGTAAAATGAACATAATGATCTGGAACCTAACTGCAGAGTTCTCTCCTTATGTCATCTCTTTTAAAGTCATAAACGTACTGTTTCCTAGCACTTCTAGAGCACATGGAAACCAAGAGAGACTCCATCATGGACTTTCCTCCTATTTGTCACTGCGACTCAGACCACAGAAGAGGCAGCACATTGTTACCTTGGTGATGGTGAGCACGATGTCAGTGGATGTTACCAGGGGGTGGGGATTTCCCATCAGCCTGTAGCCAATCACCTGGGGAAGCACCATGCTGATTGGCTGGCCCAGCATGACAGCTTCTGCTTCGATACCACCCACACCTGTGTGGAAAGGCGTGACAGAGTAATGCTTTCCTTAGTCCTCACGATATCCCTCAGGCATAGTTCACTGTCATTAACAAGTAGTCAACCCACTTATAGTGTTTTACTAGTGTAGAGTTATATTTCCATAAAGGACAGTTATCTTTTCTCTATTTCCCTCTATAGAATTTTTAACAAGTGTTTCTCAAAGTGTGGTCCCCCAAACACCTGTGTCAAAATCCCCTTGATTCCACACTAAAAAGAAGAATGGGCTTCAGGAGTCGCTGTTTTTAACAAACACCCCAGCTGATTTTCGCCTATTCTAATTCCAGCTGCTGATTCCAATTCATTCTTCCAAACATTATACTGAGTGCCTAAAAGGCATCAGACACTTTTCTGGGTACTGGAAATTACTGGAAAACAGACCAAAAAAACCTCTCTGATATTTGTGGTCACTCAAATTCATGCTGCTGGGATGTAAGGGTATCAAAGTAAATCAAGGTATTTACATAGAACGGCATAAGTGGAATAGGAGCCCAGAAGAACACTCACCCCAACCGAGAACGCCCAAACCATCAATCATGGTAGTGTGCGAATCCGTGCCCACAAGACTGTCTGGGTAATAATATCCATCCTGATCAAATACCACTCTTGCCAAATACTCCAGATTCACCTGGTGGATGATTCCTGAGCCAGGAGGAATAATCCGCATGTTGCGAAAGGCCAGAGAGCCCCACTAGGATTGAAAAATGGGGAGAACACTATGAATACCAGACACACCTTTATGCATCTCACCTCCTTGGCACCTCTTCCTCATACCCCACACACATAAAGAATCAACCAATGGAGCCAAACTCTGCCCATACCTTTAAAAATTCAAATCGTTCTCTATTTCTTTCAAATTCCAAGTCTTGATTCTTCTGTAAACTGTCTGCCCTGTCAAAGAGAAAGACTAAATGTATAAATTTTAAGGCGTAAAATGTTACTGGTCAAATTTATAGGTGATAATAAAGAAAATGGCAGTTTCATGTGCAGGCTTGCTGGGTGGTGGTGTGCATTCGTTAACATGGGAAAGAGGTAATTAAAGAAAGTAAAAAGAATAATTATTTTTTGGTTCAGGTGATTTTTATAATGCCTTTAAACATGGTGGGTAGAAAACATTAAGTGGATTTAAGTTAAAACTATTCTAATCATAAAGTCTGACTCTTAGGAACAGACTCAAGACATTTATGATGACAGTAGCAGCTTAGATATTTAAAGAAGCTTTCTTTCTGTACTCCTTTCTTACCTATGACCTTGTTACAACACCTCTCTGAGCTGAGCCATATCTGGGCTGGCATTTTCATCTGTTTTATGTTGGGAGGTAGGGAACCAGTGATGCCAGGAGGCACAGGAATTTATAGAATCACAATCTCCTATCTTGCAAAAGGAGGTTTATGAGGAGGATGGTGCCACTCAAGAACGTGAGTAAAGCGCAGATTATATACCGAGGTTTGCTCCAAGTCATTCAGTTCATCAGGACTGACATGGACAATTCAGGGCATCAGGAAGCTTTTCCAGAATTTTTATAATCAAACTACATTGTTTTGAGGTAGAGTAAGTCATAGTGACAACTCGGCATGGTTAGCACACAGGAAGTTCTTACAAACTGTCATGGATTGAGTGAACATAGGATATGATAGTGAAATTAATAGCTAAGACCCAAGTCAGACTTCACTAATTGATAGTTAACACTTATTGACATTACTAGGAACTAGGCCCCAAAGTGCTTTACATTTATTTTCTAATTTAGTCTTCAAAATAGCCCTTTGAGCTAGGAGCAACTAATATCCACATTTTTCAAAAGAGGAAACAGACACAGAGAGGGTAAGAAACTTGTTCAGGACCTCACAGCTAGTAAATGATGGAATTGGTATTGACACCCAGGCAGTCTGACTCAAGAATGATGCTCTAAGTCCCTATGCTGCCTCCCTGTAGTAGTAGTTGCAGAAACTGTAGCAGCGATGGTGGTGGTGGTAATAGCAACAACTACCATAATAATAATAACAGCAGGAGCCAAAGTGCAAGACTGCACGGTGCATCGTAGGCTCTAAGTGCTTTACACACATGAACTCATTCAATCATCATAACAACCCCTCACGTAGGTACTACCATTACCCCAATGGATGGAAGAGGAAGCGGAGGCACAGAAAGATTAGTTAACTTCTCCAAGGTCAGATGCTTGTACATTACAGAGTGGTCACCTGAACCCAGGTCTGACTGGTCCTGGAGCCTCTACCTTAACCACTATACCCACTTTCTTCTGTCACTTGTTAATGATCTACAGAGCCTACCTGGTGCCACATGCTGGGCATACAAATGTGCAGAAGGGGCATGTGTGCTGCCCAGCTGGAGCTCAGAGCCTAGCGAGAGACACAGAGCAGCAACCAGGCAACCATGAGAGTGTGATTATTAATGTCATGATACGGGAAGTACAGGGTGCCATGGGAGCACCCAGAAAGGGCCATGAACTCAGACCAGGGAGCCAGGGATGCCTTCCAGGAGGCGATGACATCGATGTAGTCTGGAGGGCGAGGGGGAGTCTGCCAGATGAACATGGGTAGGCAGGCACTGCTTGAGAAGAAAAAGACTGGAGGCACTTATTTACTCTACAAATACACATTCAGTTACCATGCGGATTTTTTTCTTTTTCTCTTGATGTGAATATTCTTCCAGATAAGTGTCAGTTGCTTTGATGGAATCAATTTCTGAGAGTATCTTACAGCAGGGGTTGGTCCACAAACTATGGTTCATGAGTCAAATCTGGCCCAATACGGTATATGTTTGGCTGTCAAGCAATGAATAATTTTTATATTTTTAAAGGTTGGAAAACAAATAAACGGAGACAGTATGTGGCCAACAAAACCTAAAGTATTTACTGTTGGCCCTTTACAGTAAAAGTTTGCTGATCTCGGGCTTCCCTGGTGGCGCAGTGGTTGAGAGTCCGCCTGCCGATGCACGGGTTCATGCCCCGGTCCGGGAAGACCCCACATGACGCGGAGCGGCTGGGCCCGTGAGCCATGGCCGCTGGGCCTGCGCGTCCGGAGC